GGCCGCACGCATGCCAGGCGAGCGCGCTGCGGCTTAGCCACATCCCCAGCCCCACAAACAGCAGATTTTAAGACACCAGTAGAGTGAGGTAGGCCAGGTTGGACAGGTGACTCTCATAAAGAGAAAAAAACAAGATCAGCCAGAATAAGCAAGAGGTTACAGAGGCCTGGACCAAGACACAGTACATAGAAGTAGAAAGAAGGCCAAATGCCACCTATGTAACCACAGGCTAGTAATGCCAGGAGCCCCAGAAGCTGGAAGGTACTAGAAACCTACCTACATCTCTATTTCAGACTTCTAGCCTCCAGAATTGAGAGAGACTTAAAATGTTTTAAGTCATCCAACTTGTGATAATTTATTATAGTAGCCAAAAGGAATCTAATGCAAATTTTGGTACAAAAATGTGGTCAATGCTATATCAAATGCCTAAAAATGTGAAGTTTGATGACTGAGGATGGGAGAATATCCAAACTATGATATTATATTAGCAGATGAACTGAGAGCTAAGATCATAAGCAGACTAATTACAGCATTACTAGCCTGTGGTTACATAGGTGGCATTTGGCCTTTATGAGTGGCACTGTCCTGGATGAAAGGGTGAGTGAACATTAAGTCATTCAATAAACATTGAAGGAACATCTTCCTTCTAATAGACATGAGGACAGAGTAGTTTATAAGACCAACCTATTCCTTCTGTTATAACAGGGAAGATAGATATTAAATTATAAATTAGACTGTTAACTAGTATGATGGTGATCTGTATTAATAGGAAGTACAGGGTTGTATATGAATAATGTGAATTTTTAGCAGAATTTAGTGTCAATATCCATATTGTTCATGAATTAGTACAACAAACATTTACTGTCTGGACAATACTTAGCAAATATGATCCCCTATGATTTTGTTTAGGTATATTTTTTAAGCTAAAAGTAATTAATAGCTCATTTAAAGAACAAATGTTGGCAAGAATGTGGGGAAAAAGGTACACTCATGCATTGCTGGTAGGACTGAAAATTGGTGCAAACACTCTGAAAAGCAGTATGTAGATTCCTCAGAAAACTTGGAATGGAACCACTATCTGGCCCAGTTATCCCACTCCTTGGTATATACCCAAAGGACTTAAAATCAGCTTAATTATGTAGCCACATCAATATTCATAGCAGCTCAATTCACAATAGTAAGCTATGGAACCAACCTAAGTGCCCTTCAGTAGATGAATGGATAAAGAAATTGTGGTGCATATACACAATGGAATATTATTTAGCCAAAAAGAAGGATGAAATTATGGCATTTGCTGGTAAATAGATGGAACTGGAGAATATCATGCTAAGTGAAATAAGCCAGTCTCACAAAACCAAAGACAGAATGTTCTCTCTGATATGTGGATGCTAACCCATAACAAGGGAAGGTAGGGGGGAGAAGTATACAAGCTCATTGGATTAGACAAAGGAGAATGAAGGGAAGGAAGGGGGAGATAGGAATAAGAAAGACAGTAGAATGAATCAGACATAACTTTCTATGTTCATATATGAATACACGATAGGTATAACTCCACATAATGGACAACCACAAGAATGGGATCCTAATTGGAATGGGTTGTACACCATGTGAATATAATATGTCAAAATATACCCTACTGGCATGTATATCTAAAGACAACAAATAAAATATTTTAAAAGCCTAGCAGATGTTAAGTAATAATAAGAAACAAATAATTTGAGAATGGACCACTTGGCATCTAAATTATTCAGGAAGTGGTTCTGTTCTTCAGGCAAAAGAGGAGTAGCCTGGTTGGAAAGGCCATATTCCAAAAAAGCCATATTCCAAATATGGCTCCCAGAAAGAGATGAGAAATTCTATATACCTAACTCAAGGTGTTACCATTTAGCTGAAATGGGTCTATGAGCACATGACACAGCTAAGTGAGAGATCATCCTCAGTGGGCCTCAGTATGCCCCAGGCCATCCCATCATCTTGGAGTAGTCAAACCACTGAATGAGTAGTCAAACCAGTGAAGGTTGTGAGGACAGAACATAGTCATCTCAAAATGGAGTACACAGGGGACTTCAGGCCTCCTTGTATACCATATTTCCAAAAGCTAGAGTTCCTTTTGAAAAACCATAGCAAAGCTACTGAACAATAGCAGTAGCAGTTTTTCAGTAAAGAGGGTTTTCTCCTCCTGACCTAGGGCCATTTTGTAACCTAGACAGATATGTCTGCTTCTGCAATTAACAAGTAGTTGAGTCTTTTTTATAGGAACTAAAAATTTCATTCATTCTATTGTACATTGGGGAAAACTAGATCAATAATATTTCTTTCTCATGTAACGTATATTCTCTCTAGGTTTTCCTGAAACTGAAAAAAATTTTAAGCTTGCCTGATTTCAACCCAACCAAGCTTGCTCTGATTTCTGTTGCTTGCCGCTCTATGTGCCAGTGGGTTATAGCTTTGAACAACTATCATGAAGTACGGAAGGTATGCTTTTTCTCCTTAATCTCTGTAATGATTTGAAAGTGATATACCAAAAAGTTCCAGAAATGATTTTTAAAATGAACTTCTGTGGAAAGAATGCCTAATGAAATCCATTTTAATCAAATATAATATACTAACTCACACAGATGTCAAGTGCTCCTATTACATTTTTCTCTGACAACAATCATGTATCATTTTATTTATTTTAGTTACCATAGTAAGCTACTTTATATCCCCTATGCACACATAGGAAATTCCAGGAAAGTTTATTTTAACGGTTGACACTTATAAATGTCTTTCATGGTTAGTGACATTCTTAATAGTAAACTTGACTTTTTCAATACCTAAATATTCTTGCATTCTATTTAAGGTGGTAGTCCCTAAACAAAACCAAGTGGCTGAAGCTCAAAGTGTTCTAAAAATTGCACAACAAAGGTTGGCTGAAAAACAGAGAGGTTTACAGCTGGTAAGAATTTTTTTACTTGTTAAATTCTCAATACCTTTCTGAAATAAACAAAAATACCAGAAAATAGTCATTATCTCAGGGCACTGAGGGGATAGCTCAATTGCAGAATGCTTGCCTAGCATATGTAGAGGCCCTGGTTCTTCCCAGCACCACCCCCCAGAAAAGTTATCTCAGTAGAGCTTATTTAAGAAAGCTCTTTGTGTCTGCTAAAACCTTCAATATGTTAATTATTAACATATTAATTTGCAATAACATTTTAATTTGCATTTTACCAAATTTCTCCCAGGAAATCTTTAGAACTTTAGTCTACCAAATATTAACCAGTACCCACATGAATTCCTAAAAATCTGTATTTAGCCTGTTTATATAGTTTACTCTTTTACTTTATAAGACATTTTTATAAGACATTTCTTAAATGTCTGGATTTAAATTAAAATAAAGTATCATTATTAGAACTAGAACTACAGTTGATATTTATCCCTATTATATATCCCTATTATTTCTGTACTTGATATACATTCTGAGAGTAGGTGAAGTAATATAATTCAAGGATGGCAACAGTCCATTGACATCTTTTGGTCTATATAGTCTCCCCTGCACACATACATGTTTTGATGCAATTATCTACATTCAAAAAATCTATGAATTTCATTAAACTCTGAATCCCTATCTTCTCTTGAAAACTCAGATCTGGCAACCCAGCCTGTATTCCCTATATTCATAGTTGGCTATGATCAGTCCCTAATCCACTTCAAGCATTTATGCTACCTTCCTGGTCTCACAGGCATTTCTTGAGAACTCAGTTATATAAATAGTATTGGACATTTTTTAAGGAAATAAACAAATTTGGACAGAATTTGTTTTATCTTGATATATCATTTTATTGCTAATATTTTATCTATATAGTTTTACTTTGATAGGTGCTGATAACAGCTAATATTTTTAATGCTACTGTGTTCCAAGCACTATGCTAGTGTTTTATATACATTTTCTCATTTAATCCTCAAAACAATATCCAGAACTAGATATTTACAAATGAGAAAACTAAATTTAAAAGATTTGGTTAATCTGTTCAAGATCTCCAGCTACCAAAAGAATGCTGCAAACATTCTTAGTAGGGTCTGTCTAATTCTAAAACCACATGTTCAACTACTACAGTATAAAACATTTCTATTAAGGAGTGATATTCAAAATATTAAGCAACCAGAGGCACCAATCAATCAGAATGGACATTTGTCATGGGCAAGAACAGAGACCTACATCTAAGTTTGTAGAGGGGTATGGAGACAAGGTGAGCAATGGTGGGGTGGGGGTGGGGGGAGATATTCTTGATGAATAGGGCAGCAATTAGTGTTCTTGGTTTTTCTGTTTTTTAGCTTTTTGTTTTGTTTTGTTTTTATTGGTGTATTATAGTTATACATAATAGTTTGGGTTTATTTTGACATATTCATACATGCATGGAGTTTAATTTACTTTATTTCAGATCCTGGTACCCCCTACCCCATTTCTACCTCTACTCCCTTCACCTATTCTCCTTCCTCTACTCTACAGGTCTTCCTTTCACTCATTTATTTATTTATTTTTAATTAATGCTTTATAGATATACATAATGGTGGAATTTGCTGCAGTATATTTATGCATGTACATAGCATAATCTTGTCAATTTTATTCCACATTTTCTCCCCTTTCCCATCCTCTCAATCCCCTTCCTCTACTCTATTGATCTTCCCTATATATTTATGACTACCGAATCCCACTTTTCTCCCCCTTGCTTTCCTCTAGCTTCTGCATGTGAGAGAAAACATTCGACCCCTTGATTTTCTGAATCTAACTTATTTCTCTTAACTTGATGTTCTTCAGTTCCATTCATTTACTGGCAAATGCCATATTATTCTCCTTTATGGATGAGTAAAACTCATTGTGTATATATGCCACATTTTATTGATCCATTCATCTATTGACAGGTACTAGGACTGTACCATATCTTGGCTAGAGTGAGTTGCACTGCTATAAACTTGATGTGTCTGTATCACTATAATATGCTGATTTTAGTTCTTTGGATATATACCATGGAGTGGGATAGCTGGGTCATATGGATGTTCCATTCCTAGTTTGTTTTTGTTTTTGTTTTTTGGACTCTCCATACTGTTTTCCAGAGTGGTTATATTAATTTGCAGGACCATCAACAATGTATGAGTATACATTTTCCCCCACATTTTTGCCAGCATTTATTCTTATTTGTATTCTTAATAATTGCCATTTGACTGGAGCGAGATGAAATCTTAGTGTAGTTTTGATTTGCATTTCCCTGATTGCTAGAGATGTTAAAATTTTTTTCATATATTTGTTGACCATTTGTGTTTCTTCTTTTGAGAAATGTCTGTTTAGTTCTTTTGCCCATTTCTTGATTGGATAATTTATTTCCTTGGTGCTAAGCTTTTTGAATTCTTTATATATTCTGGATATTAATCTCTCCCTTGTCAGAAAAGCAGATAGAAAATTTTTTCTCCTGCAGATTCTCTCTTCACTCTCCTTATCATTTCCTTTGCTGTGCAGAAGCTTTTTAATTTGATGCTTTCCCATTTATTGATTCTTGGTTTTATTTCTTGAGCTTTTGGGGTCTTGCTAAGGAAGTCAATGCCTGTCCAATATGTTAGAGTGTTGACTTATGTTTTCTTCTAGCAGAAAAACTAGTATTCTTACTTGGCTCTATTAAGGAAGTAAGAACTAAACACAATAAAGCAATTAGATTTAATGGACATTTACAAAATACTCTACCAACAACAGAATACATGTCCTTCTTAGGGGCTCATGAGAGATTCTCCAGGACAGATCATATTTTAGTCCACAAAATAAGTCTCAATAGATTTTAAATTGACAGATAGCATATAGATATTCTGATCATAATAAGGTGAAATTTTAAATCAATAACAGGAAAATTCAAAAATATGTAGAAGTTAAATAACATACTTAAAAAATCAGTGGGTCAAATAAGGGAAATTATAAAATACTCAGAGAAAAATTAAAATGGAAATACAATATACCAAAACTTATGAGAAACTCCAAAGGCAGTGCTTAGAGAGAAATTTATAATAGTAAATGCCTACATTAAAAAAATATCTCAGGCTGGTCTTGTGGCTTGGCTCAGTGGTAGAGTCTTGCCTAGCACATGTGAAGCACTGAGTTCAATCCTCAGCACCACATAAAAATAAATAAATAAATAAAAAGTTGCATCCATCTACAACTAAAAACTATAGAAATTTTTTTAAAAAAGATGATCTCAAGTTCAAGACCTAACTTTATACCTTAAGGAACTAGAAAAAAACAGATGAAACTCAAAGCAAGCAGAAGGAAAGAAATAATAATGATTAGAGCAGAGACAAAGTAGAGGATAGAAAAACAATAAAATCAATGAAACCAAAGGTTGACTTAAATAAAAAAGAAATGCCTTCAAAGCTAACACACCTCTATTTTAGACAAAAAGAGAGAAGACAGTAAAATCAGAAATGAAAGTGAGACACTACTACTTATAAAGATTTTTTAAAAGAAGATTTTCTTAGTCTTAGTCTTCATACTACAAACAATTAATTACTCATCAACAAAGTAGATGATATAGAAGAAATGGAAAAATTCCTTGAAACACTGAAATTATCTAAACTGACTCAAGAAGAGAAAGAAAATCTTGACAGATAGATAATCAAAATAAAGAGGGCTGAGGATATAGCTCAACTAATAGAGTGTTTCCCTTGCATGCACAAGGCCCTGGGTTTAATCCCCAGCACCACAAAAAAAAAAAAAAAGAAAGAAAGAAAGAAAGAAAGAAAAAGAAAAAAAAAGTCATGGAACAGAATGACTTTACTAAACATTTCTACTAAACACTTAAAGAATCATCACCAGTCTCTCAAACTCTTTTAAAATTGTGAAGAAGAGGCATTACTTTGTCTTAGTCTGTTTGGGCTGCTATAATAAAATACCACAAAGTGAGTAGTTTATAAATGCCATTTAGGAAGCTAGGAAGTCCCAAGATCAAGATGCCAGAAGGTTCATTGTCTGGTGAAGGCCCAGAAAGATAAGGCAGAAAGGATGAGGGGACTTTCTTGGTCTTTTTTATAAGGCCACCCATTCCATTAAACAAGACTCCACACTTGTTTACTGGAATAATAACCCCCCCAAAGGATTCACCTGCTAATATCACCATATTCAGGGCTTGAATCTCAACACATGAATTCAGGGGGCGACACAAACACTCAGTCTATAATACTTGCTAAGAACTAGAAAATTCAAGAGATTTCAAACACAACTATAAGCAAAAAGAGATTTTGCTAAGGTTTACACATTAAATTAACATTCAATAGCAGTAGTTTTCCTACCAGTCAGAAGACATAATGAAAGAAAACAACCTCATTTATAATAGCAACTAGAAATATAAAATATCTAGGAATGAGCTTTATTACAGAATGTGCAGTATCAATATAAAATATTATAAAGCTCAACCAAATAAAACAATATTCAAAAGATTTTAAGTTCCCTATATTAATCCATGAACTTGGTGTAATTACAGTTTAAATGCCAGCAGATATTTTTGGAATTTTTCAAAATAATGTTTTAAATATAATGATTAAATGTAATAAAATTTTCAAAGTGCAAAATAAGTCCTAGATAAAGACAAAGAACAAAGTGGGGAAAATATTTGCAAATGCATATACATCAGATACAGTTTCATAATTTGTAAAATGCTCAAACAAAAAAATTAATAGTTCAACAGAAAAAAAATTGTCAAAGAATAAAAAGAGGCAGTTTATAGCCAGTGAGGACACTTGCTGGCAGATATGGCAGTTGTGATAGGGTTGTGCTGCACCAGGCTGACTGCTAGGTATAAACTTATATTAAGCCTCAGCCATCATCTTTCATGACATCAGTAACAACTACCACAATAACAGTTAACTTCCTGAACACTTAACATGTTCTGAGAACTATTCTAAGCATTTTACCTGTATTAGTCAATTTAATCCTAACATCAACTCCAAGATAAATATTATTGTAACCCCCCATTTAACAAATGAGGCACAGATATTTCAGGTACCCAATGACTAACACCTACCCAAAGAAAGCAGGAGCCCACCCTCAGACCTTCCAGTCACTCCTCAAGTGCAAAAATTATAGACATCTCAAGTGTTCAATTTAGTGGCTAGGTCCTATACATTAATATTTAAATGACTAGGCCATGAATAACAAAGGAATGGTTTCCTCAGTGGAATCAAAACAAATGAAATGAGCAAGCAAACAAAAAACATATATAAAAGTACAAACAACTTAATAATTATTATGGGTAAACCAGGAATAAATTCTAAGTTATTAGCATAAGCATGCCCAAAGTATTTAATGTGTATGTTTTTGTAAAATACGGGTGTGTTCACATATGTATGTGTGTGTGTATGTGTATAATATATATGTATATATAGACACACATATACATATGTATATGTGTATGTATATATGTGTGTATATATACATATATATTCACCAATATGCATACATATATGTACATATATACATATATATACATAAATGTACATATATATTCACCAAGATAATACCTTTTTTTTTTTTTTTTTTTTTTTAGAGAGAGAGAATTTTTAATGTTTTATTTTTTAGTTCTCGGCGGACACAACATCTTTGTTGGTATGTGGTGCTGAGGATCGAACCCGGGCCGCACGCATGCCAGGCGAGCGCGCTACCGCTTGAGCCACATCCCCAGCCCCAAGATAATACCTTTAAAATAGGATAAATTATAAATTACAGTAAGCACAAGTCTGTCTATACAATTAAATGAATATACCAGGTTCAAGTCTCCAGCTTTCCATTACTATAACAAAATACCTGAGATAATCACCTTAATAGAGGAAAAGGTTTATTCTGATTCATAGTTTCAGAGGTTTCAGTCTTTCAGTCCATGCTTGCAGCAGTGCTTTTGGCCTATGGTGGCACAGTACATTATGGTGGGAGCATGTGGCATAGGGGTTTATGATCACTTCATGGCAACTAGGAAGCAAAGATAAAGAGGAAGGGGGCCTGGGTCCCAATGTCACCTTTAAGAGCATGCCCCCAGTGATGTAAGTTACTCTCGTTAGATTCCACCTCTAAATGATTCTATCACCTCCCAATAGTGACAAGCTGGGGACCAAGCCTTATTATTATTATTGGCCTTTGGAAGACATTCCAGATCTGCACCATTGCATCCTGGCTTCAAACATTTTGAGAAGACATAAAAATTTTCAAAACTTAAAAATTACAATAGAAAGGTTATTAAGACTGTAAGACCAGAGCTCATGAGACAACAAATGGCAATTTGTGATTACTCCTCAAACGACTGCTACAAAACAGTTGCATCAGTCTGGATTTAACAAGACTAGAAATTGGTCAGGATTTTAAAGAATGCCTACAATTTACATCCCTTTAAGGGAAGAGCCCAAGCATAAGGGAAGAATGTGATTTGGCAATCCCAGAAACAAGAAAACTTAGAGAATGCTTGGGAGGTATAGAATGAACCAATGTGCTGCAGAGTTATAGAATTGGGAAAGAGTAATAAAAGAGATGAAACTGGGATGGAAAATTGGGCCCAGATTGTGAAAGCTTTCATTGACTGGGGCAAAACTCTTCAGTCAATTACTTAGAGAAGAGGTCACCAAATTCTTTGAAGCCGAAGTGTTGTCAAGATATTATTTTATCAGCTAATCCTGAAAATATGTTTTCTATGGATATCCTAGGGATAGTTTAACAGTTCCTTCATTCTGTCATCCTAACTAAAAAACTCATTCATTTCTCTGGTCTGCTCAGTGTATTTGGAGTAAAAAAAAAAAAAAAATGCCATTTTCTTTAAGAAAGAACCTAGATATGATATAAAATTTTCTTTGTGAAAAAATATAAATCAGAAAGTGATGGTTCTTTAAATGCTAGGATTCCAAGAAAGTCTATTGAAGAGGGAGCTGGTATTTTGAAATACAAAGTTTAATATCAAAAGGGATCACTTCATTTCTACAGTGTACATTTTCATTGATAATATAATCCATCCAGGATGTGAAAATGAAATGGTTCCACTCTATATTTAGACATAAATAACAGATGAATTCTTGAAATAAAATGAGAGTAAGATTGTTTCTCAATAATAAATCCATTGTGTTTCAGATTGAAGAACACTTGCAGTTTCTGCAGGCGGCCTACAAAGATATTGTTGCCGAAAAACAACTATTAGCAAATCGGAAAAAACTGGTCACCAAGCGCTTGCAATGTGCAGCTGTTTTGCTGACTGTCCTAGACGAGGAGAAGGCATGAATTCCCTTGGTTTATATAGCCATCATTAATTTTTTCTGGACTCAACAAACCTGATGCTATTTCAGTGCAGGCTATGTTGCATGTCTCCTAAAACTATCTCCCTGTCAAACTTCTTATCTACTTCAACAACATATTCACTAGATAAAAGAAAGGAATCTTGTTGAATTAGTCTCATAAGAGAAGTAAACAGACTACAAAGATCTGAGCTAGTTTCTCTTATTCTTAAAATATCAGCACATTGGGCTGGGGCTATAGCTCAGTGGCAGAGTGCTTGCCTAGCATATGTGAAGTACTGGGTTTGATACTTAGCACCACATAAAAATTTAAAAAACAAATAAAATAAAGACCTACTGTCTATCTACAACTACAAATAACTTTTTTTGTAAATATATATCAGCACATTTGTGTCTGATGAGGCCCAAAGTAAACGGTTCAATCAGTATGTCATGAGTTTTCCTTCCCTGGCACTAGACAAACCCAATTTGAACACAAGAAAGAGGAGGGCCAAAAACAAGGTAATATCTTTAGGATGGAAAAAAGACATTTTCACTTTTGTCTGTCAATATTTTGCCACCTTTAATCTCATTTTTTTCTTTCTCATCTAACTAATTTGCCTCCTCTATATCTCAAAGGATACTCTAAAACTCAAGATAATTTAGTTTAATTATTTTGATAAATGCATATCATGATGATTCTTCTAGAAGGAAGAAGGAGATTCTTTTTTGCAATCATGCCAGTCAAAAGGAGATTACAGCACTCAAAAGTTGACTGATGTTCCTGAGTTTTGCTGACAGGCAGGGGAACATCATTAGCACTCCAGATTTTAAGCTTCCAGAAGAAAGGGCTCTTGCTTACCATGCTTTATTCATTGGCCAATCAAGGATATATATTATTGGAGAAGGAAGCTCTGCAGCCAGAGAATCTGAGTTCAGATTCCAGCTACATGATCTTGAGCCAGCTGTTTAACTTCTCTAAACTTCTACTTCTTCATATTAAAGTGAAGTCAATAGCACTTGTTTAACAAAATATTGAAGGTGTCAAATAAGATTTTCAAAGTAAAGTGTCTGACAGATGATTAAAGATTTGGTAAATGTTGATTATTATTACTGAATACCATTAATAGCATAGTGAATTGATATTTTCAAAATTACCCTGCTTTATTACACAAGGATTTGAAATGGATGTATATCTCAGTAAATATGAAACTATTGACAAACCCAGGAACAGGACTAGAATTCCTCCCAGAAAACAATTCATTTTAAAATGTTATCTATAATTAGCTTTCATACAACTACAACTAGAAACAGTTATATTAATAGTAATGATATTTCCAGATTGAAGACCATCATTAATGGTCTTCACCTTAAATGTCTCATCATAGTATATTTTCTATCCACTAAATCCTTTTTATCTTAATATTTAGGCTCGATGGCAAGAAATAATCAATCACATCGATAACAAGCTAGAGAGGATCCTGGGTGACATGCTGCTATCAGCAGCATGCATCGTCTACAGTGGAGTTTTAACACCAGAATTCCGCCAGCTGATTGTGAATAAATGGGAGAAATTTTGCGTTGAAAACAACATTTCCTTGTCTTCCAACTTTTCTTTAATTGAAGCAATGGCACAAGAACCTGAGGTGGTAATATATTTCTATTACCCAGCTAAGTGGTTATTATTGTTGTGGGGGATTGGATCTTTTCCCAAAAGTATTTGCATAACTGAAAGTATTGGAGTTTCTTTCAGGCTTTATTTTTTTTAATTTATTTATTTATTTTTGCATTACAATTCTTAATACACCATTAAATCATAAGTTATCATATCTCTGATTATATATAAGGTACTTCTTTTTTAACTTATAACTCTAATGCCTCAATTAGTTATATCTGTCCTATTTGTCACCATTTGAGCAAAATTTAAACAATATTGTCTCCATTATAATCTTGCTTATTTCTCTCACTAAAATGTCTTTCACTAGTAAAATTAGTGAATTTATTGAACCCTAGGGAGCATTCTTAGCTATAGCACAAAATATAGACCTACATTTATCAATTTATCAATACTTTTCATCTATTTATGTAAATTCTATGCTGATGTCTAGAAGATAAAAAAGAAATGTACCTACTTTTTCTAACCCTCATAGAATAATTTTCAGTTGGTTTCCTCACTGATAACTCTTCTTAAATTGACTAACCAAACTATGAATTCTCAAAAGCAAATATTGGCTTCTCATTTTCATAATTCTAATAACCAATTTAAACCCAAATATGTCAGTTATTATGTTAGATTTAAATACTCCAATTAAAAGTCAGAAATTTCAAAGCTATATAATAGTATAAGCTAAAGTACAAAACAGAAACCATATATTGTTTAGAAGGGACATACCTAAAACAAAAGTTGAAAATCAGAAACTTGGAGAAAATTTACCATAGATTTTTTTTAAAGGACAAAATAGACTTTAGGCAAAAAAAAAAAAAAAAAAATTACTAGAACTAATTAAGCTTTCTTTACTTTAAGAATTGGTTTAATTCTCCAAGAATGTTAATAATTCTAAATTTGTACCTAATAACATAATTTCAAATATTAATCAAACTTTTACAGGATTATAGAGGAAAATAGACTAATCTATAATAGTGAAAGATTTTAACACCTTTTTTTCTATAACTAATAAAGCAGATACACAAAATTAGAAAGAATAGAGGATATTTGAACAGGGTGATCAGAAATAAACTTAATGGAGGGCTGGGGTTGTGGCTCAGTGGTATAGTGTTCGCCTACCACATGAGGGGCCCTGGGTTCGATCCTCAGCACCACATATAAATAAATTAAATAAAGGTATTGTGCCCAACTACAACTAAAAAATAAATATTAAAAAAAAGAAATAGACTTAATGGAAATATACAGAACACGGTAGCCAGTGCCTACAGTTTGCACATTCCATGTAAACACAGGTAAAACACTGCCAAAGTTGACCATATGATGGACCATAAAACAAGTTTTAGCAAATGCTAATGAACTGAAAGTTCATTAGTATGATGTCTAACGAAAATGCAAGTAAGCTAGAAACCAGTATAAGATACCTTGAAAATCCTTATATTTTGAGAAATGATGAAATATATTCCTAAACTAGCCATAAGCCAAAGAAGAAATCAGAATTGAAAAAATGAGGCATTGGTGAAATGTTTCCTTCTAGATCATGTATGTAACAAAGAGATGTCCATTATCAACACTTGTATTTAACATTGTACTAGGAATAGTAAGGCAAGGGGGAAAAGATAGAATTAAAAAAAGAAGACATGAAAAAAATACAAATTTTTGCAGATATACATTAAAGTTTAGACCTGCTATTCAGGTCTAAGGGCTCTCTCTGGAATATAAAAAGAACTACTAGAAGTCAGTAAGAAATAAAGACATATACAATCTAGTAGATAAGTGAGCAAAAGCCTTGAACAGGCAGCTCACAAAAAGGAATATCCAAATAGCTAGCTAACATATGTAGATGCTTAACCTCCATAAGGGGCTCATTAGGAGTATGCAAATTAAATCCAAAATGAGACAGATACCACATTGCAGACTACCAGATTGACAAAAATGTGTAAGACTGGAAACTATCAAGAGTTAACAAGGATATGGAATAACAGAAATTCTCAAAACTGATGATGAGAATGTAAAAATGCTATAATTATTTTAGAAAACTGCTTTTCACCACTAATATTTAAAATACATCACCCTATGACCCAACTTCATGTCCTAGATTTTTACCTACAAGAAATGCATACATAACTCTATCAATAGACATTTAAAAATTTATTATAAAATAATAAACTTATTTATTATTCTTAATAGTGAATGACTTGAAACCATCCAAGTGCCCTCCCCAGCAGAGTAGATAAGTAAATCTTGGTATGTTGATAAAGTGGAGTTCTTGACACAATGAGAATGAATAAATACAGCTAGACAACATGGATGGAGGCAGACACCCAACAAAGGGTATAAGATTTCATTTATCTGAAGTTCAAAAATTAGCAACACTGTATTGTTCAGGAATATATAACTAAGTAAAATGAGAAAGAAAGGAGTGGAGTCAAAAGAATGGTTACTTTTTGAAAATAGAATCTCTGCTTTGCTATTGAGTTCAGGGTGCCTGTTCTTCTCACCATACCAACCTTCACTCCTGTCTTCTTTGCCTGTATTCAAACATGGTCTACATTCCAGTGACAGGAACACTTGCACTTTTCAGAATTTTTATCATCTTTTATATTTCCTTTTATGCAGACTTCAAGAGTATGCAGTTCATCATAGTAAAGCATCCCTGATTTCTCCAGAGGAGTCCTTGCTACCTTTTGCCAGAAGGTTCCCGATGTCTCGTTCCTTCTCCTACATCCTTGAGCTTTCTTGGCCTTTTTCTCCCAACATACTGTTTTCTGTCATGAATAGGCATGGAGTCAGCTTCTGAGTCAAATCCTAGCTCTGCCTCTATGCTTCTCCTACATCCTTGAGCTTTCTTGGCCTTTTTCTCCCAACATACTGTTTTCTGTCATGAATAGGCATGGAGTCAGCTTCTGAGTCAAATCCTAGCTCTGCCTCTATGCTTCTCCTACATCCTTGAGCTTTCTTGGCCTTTTTCTCCCAACATACTGTTTTCTGTCATGAATAGGCATGGAGTCAGCTTCTGAGTCAAATCCTAGCTCTGCCTCTATGCTGTCACTATGATCATGGTCAGGGACCTAACCTTAGTTCCTCCACCTGAGAAATGAGGGCATTCATAGTAATTTAACTAAATCACACACATATGTGCTTGTCAGGTGGTAGGTTTGAAATAGAGTAGCTGTTATCATATTTGTATAACTTTATATTATTGCATGTTTTGTATGTGCATTAACATCTAAGAGCCTTGGAAACAGCTGCACTCTCATATTTTTATGTCTCTCACAGTATCTTTTTGTGATTGGGCCCTGTAAATGTCTTTACTGATGAACAAAAAGGTGTAAGTTAGTGAATAATTACCATTTAAAAAATTTCACATCCAAGTTTCTTTAAATTGTTCATTTCTTTAGTCTTTTGAAAGATTATTTTATATTCTAAAGGCAATGATTCTATACAATCCTTAAGTATCCCAGAATATACTAAAGATGTGAAGAATTTTATGAAATCTCAAAGGACTAATGGTTTCATTCCAGATACGCCAATGGCATAATCAGGGGTTACCTCTTGGTCAGAACTCAATAGAGAATGCCATCTTGATCAAGAATTGCCAGCAGTGGCCACTGATGATTGACCCACACAAGCAAGCACACAAGTGGATCCAACAGATGGAAGGACTTGGGCTGCAAGAGCTCTCTGCTGAGGATAACAATTACTCCAAAAAGATTGAAAATGCTATGAAAACAGGAGAGAGTGTCTTCTTGAAGGTGTTTGGACAATATGACCTAATTCCCTATTTCCAACAACACATGCTATATACAATGAGCATAAAGACTAAAAATTTTAAGTGATAGGTAACTCTGTCAGAGAAAAAATTCATATATATATATATATATATATATAAACATATGTACACATTTAATATCTACAGTGAGTTTTGAATGTTCAGTTCTCTTAGAGCTGACTTTCACTCCAGGTATTCAATAAGATTTAAATGTTTAAAATAGTAGTGCTTTCAACTGATTTATCTAGGATCATTTTCTTAATTATATCTGTTTTGTTCTTTGTTTTTTGTTTTATTTTTCAGAATCTCCCTGAAACATTTTCTCCAGGCTTGATGGCAGTTCTGAAGAAGGATATCTATCAGAAAAGAGGGCAATATTTCATAAGAATTGATGACTATGAGATTGAATACAATTCCAAATTTAGGTAATGTCTCTCACAGTTAAATTGTATCAAATGTCTATATTTTTTTGAGACAGATAATGTTCAAGGCCTTGTATTTTTGTCCTGATAAGCTCCCACCTGTCGGACGGCAAAAGTAAAGTTGCATTTTGAGTATGCTTTTTGTTCGCGTGTTGCCGGCAAGTAACACTCATCAGTTTGCAGGATAAGAACAGATTTTTATTTATTGAGTCAGCCCAAACCAGTATTTTTCAAACTGTGCCCAATGAAATCTGTGGGTTTCTTGAAGAATTTCAGAAGCTGAGCAGAGAGGGTAACAAACACTGGCCATGCTTGATCCAGAGCTCGGTTTGTTCCACTTGCCAAACGTACTTGGGTGGGACAAGCTTTTGCTGCTTTAGAAAACAAACCCATATTTAATAGCCATGCAAAAAGAGATATTTGCCTAGAGATAAAAATATTGTACCCATGTTCCCAGATGGAACTGGCCTCTTGGAAACCCACTTCCACTAGCTAACTTCATAAAGAACTTATTATGAAGTTGAATTTGATCACCACAAAAATATGATTCCCAAGAAAATAAAATATTTGAGTTGTTCATGTTTCATTCTCTTCTTGTAAAAAAAGATACCAAAAAATCAGTTCCTCATCAGAGGAGTGCTGGGTAATAAGCAAGTTATCGGCAAGGGAACCAGAATATTTGAAGGCTGCAGATTTGAAGCCAGTTGTGCTGCACTCCTTCCCAGTAACTGTGTAGCTCCTCCCCAAAGGGTCTGTTTGGCTGTGTACACTTTCCCCAGGGCAGGGCTGCAGTCTTGCCTCATTCTTAGAATTCTCTCTCCTAGTGTCCTTTGTTCTGTTAATAAAACATTTTCCCAAGTTATGTTCCTCAAAACAGCATTTTCAGGGATTTAACAGGTATCACCCAAATAAAAGGTATCCAAGGCTTTTTTTTAAAGCAGTGGGTTAAAGTTAAACAGGGACTTTCTGTTAGGAATTTAAAAACCTCCCTATTCATTGAACCCTTTCCTGAAATTAGTGTTGCATGGAATAACCCTTTGGAAAACACCATGTTAAACCATGCTTTTTTCTCAGGGGATACACTGTGATTAAGTTACAGCTCTAGAAATGCACATAAAGCTACCTTTTCCTGAATTGACAACCTGTCCTCAGGTTTGAAATGTGTGCACTTGAGGAAGGGATAGAGGACACTGTTTAGAAGACAGACTTCGAGACAGGTGCCCTCTTCACTTTCTGGCCCTTGATATGGGCAACTTATTTAACCTCTCTGAGCTTCAATTTCATCCTTTATAAAATAGATTGAAGAATTGTCCTCACTTTATTTGATTGCTACTCTCAGAGCCACCACCCTGTTCTAAGCCACCTTCATCTCTCACGACCTAACTAACTTCCCATTTTGCTACCTCCCACCTCTGCCCAGGTTGTTCTCAGGACAGCAGCTAAAAAAATCATATCACTTCTTTGCTCAAATACCCTAATTGACTTCTCTCATTCAGCGTAAAAACCAGTCTTTAAAAATGGCCTAGTTCCAGGTCATAACTCCTACTCTTTAGCATTTTTCTTTACTGTGTCCTCATGTTTAAATATGGTCTGAACCTAATTTATGATTGTGTTTTTTAAAGTCTTAAATAGAAACTTATTAACACAATGTAAGTTGAGAGACTACTTTGTTTACAAGGCTGAATAATACTAAAAATTAACCTTGTCTACTTCCAGGAAAAAATGTTTTGCATTATTAAGTAATTTTGTTTTATTTTTCTCCTTCTGTATATTCTTTGAATAACTGGTATCTTTGTTGTGTTTAGGTTATACTTATCTACAGAAATAGACAATCCCCATTTTCTTCCATCAGTTTATAATTTTGTTACTATGATCAATGTCATAGTAACATTCCAAGGTTTGCAAGATCAACTCTTATCTACTATATTAAGTCATGAAGTTCCTCATTTAGAATATCAACGCTTCCAGGTTTTAGACAGTATTTCTCTTGGTGCTATAACTATTGAAGAACTGGAAAAAGAAACATTGAACTTACTACAGAAATCACAAGGTAAGTGCAGCTGTTTAGTGAGATTAAGAGACCTTGAATTAAGATCAGAATAAAAAGTTACAAGGACCAAATTTTGAATTGGCACCAAAAATTTTCACAAGATAACTGATTAATGCAGGCAAACCATCCCATTTCTAAGCTTAAGCACTGTGAATATCATAGGACGTTGGCCATCTGAATCTAAGATTAGGACAAATCTTAGAGATGCTGGTTAGTTCCCACCTAGGCTCCTTGCCCGTATTTCAAGTACCTGATACCTATAAAATGTCTAAACTTTAGATTACAGAGACAAAAGATTGGGTTTTCCCCAAGTTTTAATACCAAAGGATCTTTTAAAAGGAAACAATTCACTGATTTTTAATTTATGTCATTAAAATACGCTGCTTATTAAAATAGCAGTAGAAATTTTTTTCCTCTTCCCTGTAAGAAATATCTAAAAATTCATAATCATTACAGATCTAAACTTAAATTTAAGTTAAATTCCTGGGTCACACTGACATATCTGCTCCTAATTCAACTATAAGAAAATATAACAATATCTAATAATGGAATTTTTCTGTTTTAACTTGTGACTCCTTAGGACTTCAAAGTTTCTCATATATTTTAGTTCTCAATTAAGTTTATGGATAAGGACTAATCTGTATATTTTATTGCTCTTCTTTCTTTCTATTTTTATTACAAATGCCCTGTAAGTACACCACAAACTTAGTAACTGAACATTTACAGGTGGAGCCCTGATTTGTATTTACTTTTAAAGTTCTCTACACGATTCTAATTTTCATTACTAATTAAATATTATTTGTCTAATCTAAAAGGCTCATTATCTAAGATGCAAACCCAATATTACCAGACACTTTAGTAAAATAAGCTGAAAAATAGTTTTTTAAAAGATAAATATATAATATATAAATAATAAAACAGTAATATTGATATAATTTTTGAAGAAGAAACAGAGTTTGATAGGGTATAAAGTTGCCATACCCAGGAGCAATATTGTGTGAGTCCCCATTTCCACAGCCTTGGTCCATACTCAGTCTCTTGCTCCTCATCCTGACCACTATTCACCAATGCCACAAGGGAGCCAAACCACTAGTGGAGGGCATTCTCTAAGACTATCTAGAACTAGAACCATGAACTTTGTGAGAACGAGGACAGGTCTACCAGTTTCAGTGCAGTGATGAATTTAAGCCTTTCCTTCCCACACATTATGGCTACAGAACCCACAACACACACACAAAAAGTATGTATCCCTCCACTTATGTATTCACCTTAATATAAGATTGCCTTCCTCAACAAAGTACTGCAACACCAGCACTTTACTGAGATCTATGACCAAAAGAGGAATGTCTATCATATGGAGTTCTAGCCTTGACTCAGTAAGATCTACTGGGATGTGGAGAAAACACTGATTTGTTCAGCATGTTCAGAAACTAGCTAAAAAACAAAAAGAAACAAACTAACTAACTAATATTGTTATAGCATAAAACTACCTTAGATTTCAGAAATGCTTATTTTTGTGCTTTATAGGACTTCACATTTTGTCATAAAAATCCCAGACTACCAAAAAATAAAGAAAGTGGAGAAGGTAGTGAGGAGGGTATATTAGTCCCTTTTTTGTTACTATAATGAAAGTCTTGAGACAGGCTAACTTTATATAGAAAAGAGGTTATTTAGATCACAGGCAGGAGTGTATGTGAAAGGATTTGATCACATTGCCAAGAAGGAAGTTGGGGATCAGGCTTGCTCTTATAACACCTCATTCTTAAAAGAGCTCAGGGGAACCATGAGAGCTATGCTTCTGAGAATATTTCCCCCAGCAGACTTCTCACAAGGCCCCACCTCTTAAAGGTGGCTCTGTTTTTCAGCACCATCACACTAGGGACCAAGTCCCCCAACCCAGGAACCCTCAGGACAAACCACTTTCAAACCACATCCAAACCACCACAGAGGGTGTGCCTTTCCTAACTCGAAAAGTGCAAAAAATCTTTCACTATTGCTATGCCATTGTCTTGACCCAGTTCTAGAAAGAGATGTGTGCTAGCTAGATAACATTTAAAAGAAGTCTGAAACTCATATTTTGCAACCACATTTATTTTAAAAAAATAAGCTCAAAGTTCATTATATCTTATGTTAGCAACAGGCAAGTCCTCACTTAGAAGTGTGTTTGTTTACTATGAAATTTTAAATACATATCTTTGCCTGGAAGGATCTGACTTTATTCCTTTCCTATGTTAATTACACTTAACATGCTCTTTCTTTATAACATCTGAATAAACTATGCTTCTATTAATGATAAAACTAGGTAGCTACAAGGACAAGGTTTCCATATGTTTCCTTATAAGACTGTAACCATCAGTTGGTAACCCCTAGGGAGCAAAACAGCTAGGTACTATGTAATATATGTAAAAGGTAACATCATGGATCTAACAAGATTCAGAAGCACAGCCTCTCCCATTTCGTGGACCACTCATGTAACAAATGTCCTATTTTGGTAAAACCTTTGCATAAGTTGGAAAAAAGATAGGTTTAATAAAACAAATGGATATTTAAGTTGTTAAATTTAAGATAACACATCAAAGCACTAGAAGTAATGTTTTTTCAAAAGATGAGTTCCAACCAATTAATGGCCAAGGAATCAATTTCAATTCTATTTGCTTAATAAGATAGACTAGAATACAAAGTATCACAGGACATCACATGAAGTAATAATATGCCTGTTATTTTCTGGAAATTTAATTTTAGTTCTCTTATGTATAGTGGTTCACTGGGTAAATGTATTCTACATAATAGATGGTTCCCTATTGTATGCCTATAATAAAAATAGAACCCATAAATATTAAAATAATATCAAGAAGAGATGAGAGAGTAGAAAGTGGGGCATAACATAAAAGCCCATCTTCAGCATAAAACCAACAAAAAGCCCAAAGTAAAAATTCTTATGTAAAGAGTACAGAATGACATTTGGAAAAGTAAGAGGCTCAAAATAGCCAAAGCAATCCTCAGCAAGAAAAGTGAAGCAAGAGGTATCACAATACTAGACCTTAAATTGTCCTATAGACCTATAGTAACAAAAACAGAATATAGACCAATGGTAGAGAATAGAAGACACAGAGCAAAACCCACAAAAATACAGTTATGTCATCAAAGAGTAAAAGAAACTGAAGTTAAAATGTAAAGGACCAGGTATTGTTAAGTTTCTAAGCTACACTAAAAGCCTGAAATTCCTGTAGCTGTTAAGACAATTCCCAGGACTGCCCATTAGATATGTGTCGAAATTCCCCCTGACCACTTAGTTGCTTAACAACCTGGACCCAGTGCAGCTCAGCACGTAGGCACCTCAGGGCCTAAACCAATCAGTTTGAATGTATACCCCGCTTTAGGACTGACCTATCACCCCCGCCCGACCTGTCCCCACCAATGAATGTGCTAATTATGTTTGAGAGTTTTTGTTCGATTTTCCCACGCCTCATGATGATTTGCTCTGATGTATGCAAAGCCCCTGCCCTCCCCAAAAAGTGTTCTTAAGCACTGCTTAATCTCTGCTCGGGGCTCTGGGCTGCTTTCCCTCCTTGAGTGAGCACAGAGCCCCAGCGTGCTGGATCTTCAATAAACCCCCTTTTGCTATTGCATGAGTCGGTCTCTTGGTGGTCTCTTCCCCCATCGTTTGCCGGTCCCTTACAGTCATACTAGACATAGGTGCCATAAATATAGCTTCTTCAACAAATGGTGCTGGGGAAACTGGAAAACATATGTAATATGATAAAATTAGACCCGTATCTCTCACCCTGTACCTAACAGAAGAAAAACTAGGCACAACTCCATGTTGGCTTAGGGACTGAATTCCTCAACAAGACTCCTAAAGTGCAAAAAGTAAAATAAAGAATCAATAAATGGGAGGGTATCAAACTAAAAAGCTTCTTAACAGCAAAGGAAACAATCAAGAACACAAAGAGAGAGCGTGGGAGAAAATCTTTGCCACGCACACCTCAGAGTATTAATCTCCAGGATATATAAACAACTCAAAAAATTTAACACCAAAAACACAAATAACCAAGTCAATAAATGGGCAAGGAAAATGAACAGACTTCACAGAAAAATAAATATGAATGGTCAACAAATATATGAAAAAAAAAAGTTCAACATCTCTAGTAATTAGTGAAATGCAAATTAAAACTACCGTGAGACTTCATCTCACTCCAGTTAGAATAGTAAAATCAAGAATACAAGTAACAATAAATGTTGGTGAGGATACGAGGAAAAAGGCACACTCATACATTGCTGGTGGGACTGCAAATTGGTGCAACCACAATGGAAAGCAGTACGGAGATTTCTAAGAAAACTTGCAATGGAACCACCATTTGACCCAGTCATCCCATTCCTTAGCATATACCCAAAGGACTTAAAATCAGCATAATATAGTGATACAGCCACATCAATGTCCAGAGCAGCTCAATTCACAATAGCTAAGCTGTGGGACCAACCTAGTGCCCTTCAACAGATGAATGGATAAAGAAAATGAAGTACATTATACGCAATGGAATATTACTCAGCCATAAAGAAGAATTATAGCATTTGCTGATAAATGAATGGAACTGGAGGCTATCATGCTAAGTGAAATAAGCCAATCCAAAAGAACCAAAGACCAAATGTTCTTTTTGATATATGATGCTGACTCACAATAGGCGGTATGGAGGGAAAAGTGGAGGTTCACTATATTGGGCAGGGAGAAAATGAGGGAAGAAAGGGAGGATGGGAATGGGAAGACAGTAAAATGACTCAGACATAACTTTCCTATGTTCACATATGAATACATGACCAGTGTAACTCCACATCATGTACAAGCACAATAATTGGAAGTATCATACATATTCTATGTATGTATGATATGTCAAAATATACTCTGTCACATATAACTAAAAATAACAAATAAAAAAGAGTACAAATGAAGAAACAGGTAATTAATATTACTACAGTTTTTATTTAAATTCACTTTTTTGTTTCTCTTTAGGATGCATATTAGATGATGAGGAAATGATAGATACCTTAAGAAAATCCAAAATAATTTCAAATGAAATTTCAAGACGCAATGAAGCAACAGAAAAAGAAAAAAGTGAAATGCAAGCAACATATAAAAACTACCTCCCCATTGCTACTCGAGGTGCCCTGCTCTACTTTCTAGTGGCTGATCTTACACAACTCAACTGCATGTACCAGTTCTCCCTGGACTGGTTTCATCGGGTTTTTGTTTTATCAGTAGTTTCCAAAAACAAAGAACAGGAAAGTGGCTTGAAAATGGAGAAAACATCTCTGAAAAATGTTCATTTGATTATGAATACCTCAGAAGAACCTAACTTGGAGAGAGAAAAAAATTGTTTAGACAAGCATGTTAAAAATGCAGTAGATGTGTTGACAAGAAATATTTTTAAGGTGAGATATTCTTTAATGTGAATTTTGCATACTTCTTTAATATAACTGGGTTAGTCTAACCATTGTATTTTTTTTCCTCTAGGTGGTTTCTTCAGCTCTGTTTAATGAACATAAACTCTGCTTCTCCTTTCGGCTTTGCACTGCAATCATGCAAAATAATGCTAATGGAAATCTAATGCAGGATGACATTGGATTCCTATCAGAAGAAGAATGGAATATCTTTTTATATTCTGGCTTATTGATAAATATTAAAAGTGTACTACCCAAGCCTAGACTTAATAGTAAGTAAAAGTACTTTGTCTGAATATAGGAAAAAAAATGAAAATGTCTTTCTTTGCAAAATACTAAAATATCTCCAAGGTGCTCCAAGTCACTGCTTCTATAATTGATTAAATTAAAGTATATTGAAATCAAGCACAATGCATATTTTATCACTGTACCTCCTAGTTGGTGGGGGGTACAATTGGTGCTCACTAATTCTTGAATTAATGAATAAATAAATAAAAAGTAGTATGGTTATAGCAGGCCTAATATGCAAAGCAGAATATCTAATTGTAGTCAATAGGAATACACACATACACACACACACACACACACACACACACACACACGACACACACCAGTTACATACCATTAGGAGTTAAACTTTACCCCCCTCCTGAATTCAGTTGCCCTCACTTTCTTATGAAAAAGCCTTGAAAATTTGAGCCACAGCATATTTGTCCAAAAAGCTTAGGCAAGATTCTTTAGCTATTGAATTTTTCCAAATGCTCCTGTCTTGTACATTTTATATCTACAATGGCATAAGTATTATGGCAGTAAATGCATTCACACTGTTGTGCTGAAAAATAAGAAATAAAAATAAAATAAAATAAATAAAAAATAAAGGAAATCTGATATTCACAAGAGGGTAGGGAGTGGTTGTTTGTATTAAATTTTGTTGACTGTTTGGAGATCATCACAAAAACTAGGAATCAGAATAAAAACATGAAAAGAGCTACTTTTAAGTATACCAGAAATATGGATAGTCCTCTGTTGTGTGTGGGTGTGTGTGTGTATCAAAGCATGATGCTTAGTAAATGTTTGATAAGTAGCCACTTATAGCCATTGAATCAACCAATGTTCTTGTGGATTTATTATGATTCTTTTGCTTACATAAGAAAGAAACTATAACAGTAGCTTAAACAAAAAATAAAAATAGAAAGTTCTCCAGGGATTCTGTGGCATTTTAGAAGCAACCAAAGAAAAATGTAAACATCAAACATTGATATGAAAACTATTAACATAATAGTAATCATTTTTTACATAACTTTACAGCTCTAAGAAAGGACTTATTTTTTTACCTTAATATTTTTAAAAATTTTTTTTAAATATTTGTACCACTTACAACAACTTAGCATTTTAATGTTTAGTATGTTATCAGTTGAGTGGGGACAAAGCTTTTAGGTATATTCTAAAATATTTATAAAACATTTTATTAACTGATGAAATCAGTTTCAAAATGGTAGTTGTATAACAAAAAAATACTAATTTTTAAAGCATAAATCATACATTTTTTAAATCTATGCATTTATATTAACTGAACTTTAATTAAAATATCATACGTGTGTGTGGACTGTGTTGCGCATCGCAGCCTAGTGAATAGAATAATCTGGTGTCTGGGAATTTCCAGGGGACACTTCCTCTGGTTGACTGCACAGACATTGTGAGCCTATTCAAGCTTTCTCTGTCAAAGGTCCCACACAGCCCCTCTGAGATGGGGTAACCTGCCCAGATGCCAATCAACATGCTGACTGCAAGACATCAGGAAGCAAAACTCCACTCTTGAAACCTTACCCCTGTCTTTGAGGTACCCCCTTAAATAAACCACAGGAGTCATTTTCTAATTGTCTAGCTCCAGCTCCTGAGTGGGCTGGATCTATCAGGGGCTCCATCTTTCAAACTATCCTTTCTGACTCTTTATCTTTTGTTCTTCCCTAATTATTCTAGACTTTAATTTCTCAGGAGGTTTATCCCTCTGAGCAGGCAAGAATTCCCTGGTGAGGTGCTAGCCACCCCACAATACAACATCACTAAACATCAGAGAAAAGCAAATCAAAACCACAGTAGGATACAACTTCATACACATTAGGATGACTACTACAAAACACACACATACAAACACAGAGAAAATATCAATTATCAATGAATATGTAGAGAAATTGGAACTCTTGTATACTCTGGTGGGATTATAAAATGGTCAATCACTATTGAAAACAGTAGGGAGCCAGACATGGTGGCACACACCTCTAATTCCAGGAGCTCAGGAGGCTGAGCATGAGGATCACAAGTTCAAAGCCAGCCTTAACAACTTAGCAAGGCCCTAAGCAATTTAGCAAGACCCCGTCTCAAAATAAAAATGGCTGGGGATATGACTCAGCGGTTGAGTGCCCCCCCTGGGTTCAATCCCTGGTACCAAAAAAAAAAAAAAAATGAGAACAGGATGGAATGTCATCACACTATTAAAAGTAGAACTACTATAATGATTTAGGAATTGCACTCTGGATATATATATCTAAAAACTTGAATGCAGAGTTTGAAAGGATTATTTTCACACCTGTGTTCATAGAAGCACTATTGACAACAGCCAACAAGTGAAAGCAGCTCAACATCCCCCAATGGATGAAAGGATAAGCAAAATGTAGTATAAATACACAATGGAATGCTATTCAGTCTTTGAAAGGAAGAAAATTCTGTCACATGAGTTAATCTTGAGAACTATTACTGTATGAATGTGAGGGTGTACCCCCACACACACACACAGAAACACAAAGTTTCTGTGTTGATGCAGCAATATTCAGAGATAAAATAATTAGATTATAAGAGCTAAAACCTAATCAGTCACTTTAGTTTGAAGGGACTAACTGGATTGTAACATTAGGCAGGTGGGGCATGGCTAGAAGAGGTGGGTCACTGGGGATCTGCCTTGGAAAAGTACATCTTCCCTGTGGCTCCTTCGCCTCTCACTCTTTCTGCTTTCTGGCCACAATAAACAGCAGCACTGCTCCACCACACCTTTTGCCATGATGTTCTACCTCTCCTCAGAACCAGAATAATGGATTCAGGCCACCATGGACTGGATCTCCAAAACTGTCAGGCAAAGTAAACTTTTCTGGTCAGTTTTGGTCAGTGAGGAAAATCTGACTAACACAAGGACATTATGCCAGTGAAATGAGTGAGTCATGAAAAGACAAACAGCTATGATTCCTCTTAGATGAGATATCCAAGGAAGTCAAATTCATAGGAACAGGAAGTAGAATGGCGGTTGCCAGGACCTTGGAGGAGTGGGGGAAGAGGAGTTGTTGTGTAATGGGCATAGAGTTTCAAACTACAGAAAAAGTCCTGGAGTTCTGTTTCACAACATTATGAATATATTTAACACTAGTGAACTATGTACTTAAAATACTTAAGATAATCAATTTTATGTTGTATTTTTACCAAAGTGAAAAATAATTAACTTTTATATAGTTCATTTTGATATCCATGGTTTGTTTCTTCAACAACAGTATTTGTTAATCATCCACTTTTGTAACGATTGGCTGAAAGGTGAAGGATTTATTTCTTCTAATGGGATTATTTTTCCTTTTCTATTAGGCATATTTGAAATATGTAAAGATCATCATCTTCAGTGGCTGCCAGATTCAAAATGGAAGCAATGTCAATATGTCAGCAGCCAGCTGGAACCATTTTTACTCCTGTGCGAATCTCTTGTATCAAATATACCACAATGGAATGCTTTTAAGAACAGCAAGGCCATATATTCTCTAATTAGCACACCATTCAATCCAGAAAATGATTTATCAGAGGAAAGTAGGAAATCACCAGGAGAAAGTAAGAAAGCATTCAGTGTTTTAAGTGTGTGTGCACATGTGTGTGTAGATTTTCAACTTATAAATGCAGTTCCATATCTTATGAAAAAAATTGTAAAGTGAGGCAAAGTAAACTTGTTCTAGGCACATGTTTCATTCAATGTAACCCTCCTAGTAATCCTGTGAAGTGACTTTTTTCACATTTTTATTGGTTCTTTTTAGTTATACATGATGGTAGAATCCATTTTGGTATAATTATGCAAACATGGAATATATCTTATTTTAATTAGGATCCTAGTCTTATGGATGTACATAATGTTGAGATTCACTGTGGTATATTTGTACACATACTTAGAAAATTATGTCAGACTCATTCCACTCCTTCTCCCTTCCCTTCATTTCCTTTTGTCTAATCCAATGAACTTCTATTCTTTCCCTCTCCCCACTTGTTGGGGGTTAGCATCCATATTTCAGAGAGAACATTCAACCTTTGGTTTTTTTGAGATTGGCTATTTCACATAGCATGATTGTCTCCTGATCCATTTACCAGCAAATGTTATAGTCATCATTTTTATGGCTGAGTATTATTTCATTGTGTATATATACCACATTTTCTTTATCTGTTCATCTGTTGAAGGGCACCTAGGTTGATTCCACAGCTTAGCTATTGTGAATTGAGCTTCTCTGAACATTGATGTGGCTCCATCACTGTAGTATGCTGATTTTAACTCCTTTGGATGTATACTAAGGAGTGGAATAATTGGGTCAAATGGTGGTTCCATTCCTAGTTTTTGAGGAGTCTCCATACTCCTTTCCAGAGTGGTTCCACTAATTTGCAGTCCCACCAATAATGTATGAGTGTACACTTTTCCTCACTTCCTAACCAACATTTATTGTTACTTATTTTCTCGATACATTCTGGTTGGAGTGAGGGGAAATTTCAGTGTAGCTTTAATTTGCATTTCTTTAATTGCTAAAGATATTGAACATTTTTTCATACATTTGTTGATGGTTGGATTTCTTCTTTTGAGAAGTGTCTATTTAGTTCCTTTGCATGTTTATTGATTGAGTTATTTGGGGGTTTGGAGGTGTTAAGTTTTTTGAGTTCTTTGTATATCCTGGAAACTAACACCTTATCTGAGATTTTTTCCCCTTCAGTAACTCTCTTCATGCTGTTGTTTTCTCTGCTGTGAAGAAGCTTTTTAGTTTGATACTATGCCATTTGTTGGGTTTTTATTTTGCTTCTTGTGCTTTAGGAATCTTGTTGAGGAGGTTAGTTCCTAATCCAAAATGTTAGAGAATTGAACCTTCATTTTCTTCTATAGGTGCAGGATTTCTGGTCTAATACCTAGGTCTTTGATCCACTTAAAGTTGGGTTTTGTACATGGTGAGAGATAGGGGTTTAATTTCATTCTGTTACATAGGGCTTTCCAGTTTTCCCAGCATCATTTGTTGAAGAGGCTGTCTTTTCTCCAATGTATGTTTATAGTGCCTTTGTCTAGTATGAGATAACTGTATTTATGTGGGTTTGTCTCTGTGTTCTGTTCCATTGATCTTCATGCCTGTTTTGGTGCCAATACCATGCTATTTTTGTTATTATAGGTCTGTAGTATAATTTAACATCTGATTTTGTGATGCCTCCTGCTTTGCTTTTCTTACTAAGGATTGCTTTGGCTAATCTAGGCGAAATTTTTCCAAATGAATTTCATGACTGCTTTTTTGCTTGTTCTGTTTCTATGAAGAACATCATTGGATTTTAATAGGAATTGCATTAAATCTGTATAGTACTTTTGGTAGTGTGGCCATTTTGACAATATTGATTCTGGCTATCCAAGAACATAGGAGATCTTTACATCTTCTAAGATCTTCTTCAATTTCTTCCTTTAATGTTCTGTACTTTTTCATGTAGAGATCTTTCACCTCTTTTGTTATAGTGATTCCCAAGGATGTTGTTGTTGGCTGTTTGTTTGTTTATTTGAGGCTATTGGGAATAGAATAGTTTTTCTAATTTCTCTTTCAGATGATTCATTACTGGTATATAGTATTGCAGTTGATTTTGGAGTGTTAATTTTATATCCTACTACTTTGCCGAATTCATTTATGAATTCTAGAAATTTTCTGGTGGAGTTTTTTGGGTCTTCTAAATATGGAATCATGTCATTGGCAAGCAGAGATAGTTTGAGCTCTTCTTTTCCTGTCCATATCTCTTTAATTTCTTTCTTTTGCCTAATTGCTTTGGCTAGTGTTTCAAGAACTATGCTGAATAGAAGTAGTAAAAGAGAACATCCCTGTCTTGTTCCAGTTTTTAGAGGGAACTCTTTCAGGTTTTCTCCATTTAGAATGATTTTGGCCTTGGTTTTGCCATCTATACCTTTTTCAATGTTGAAGTATGTTCCTATTATCTCTAGTTTTTCTAGTGCTTTAAACATAAGTGGATGCTGTATTTTGTCAAATAGGATTATTAAGAAACTGATAAGAAATTAGATATTGTAGAGATGATAGTTTTAATACACTACACTAGTTTTGAAACTTAAATCTAAATAAGCCTACATATGCACCTCATTTTATAAAACAAATATGTTGTTCTAAAAATTCCCTGGAAGTGGACCTCACTTTCAATTTAAATGACTTGATATTTTTATCATATCTTTTCTGTTTTCTTCTTCCACTTTGAACTCACCTCTTCTGTTTTTCCCTGCCACTTCCATCTGTTTCATCCCCACTTGAGTTACAATCTAATTTGTTTTCTTCCACTTTTATTTTTCATTTTGCTTCCAGATTTTTGCTAAAATGTATAATTACTTGTGCAATAACATAAGCATTCTTACAAATTTCCTCTACTCTTATCTCTATAGGAGATAGAATTCCAAAAGTGGAAATGCTGGTCAAAAGTAAATTATTATTATTATTATTATTATTATTGCTGGGATTGTAACTAAATGGTAGAGTGCCTGCCTCGAATGTGTGAGACACTGGGTTCAATCCTCAGCACCACATCAAAATCAATAAATGAAACAAAGATATAAAAAAATTAATTATTTTTTATTAATAGTTACTTCCAGGTTGATTATTTAAAAGTCTATGTTCAATTTGTATTTTCACCAGCAATATGAATATCTTTTATCCAATTGAGATATTGGTCTTTTTTTAAATTGTGCCCATCTGAAAAAACTTAAAATACTTGAGTTATAATTTCCCATTATTAGCAAGCTGAAGTATCTTTTAAGATGTTTACTGGCAATTTGAGTTTGCCTACCCCTGTTTTTCTGTAGAATTTGTAAGAATTCTATTAATGTTATTAATAACTGACTTTTTGTGTCTTTAAATGTTTTTCTATACCTTTTCATTTTCTACTAGACTTGTTTATTGTATATGTACTACACAAATGTTCAAATTTTGTTGATCACATGTTTCATGCTTTTTGATTTCCAATTCTAATTTGAGAATATCCTTCCCTCATTTTCTCTCTGGGTCATTGTTGCTTTATTTTGTTGCTTTTGTCACTAATCTACATGGTACCTATAATTTATTATAATTTAAGATCTTTAAACAGTGCTTTTTACTTAAACAGTCTCTATATTAGATTTATTAGAACCTTTTGTAAAGTGAAGATGGTTTTATTTTGCAAATAACCCCAAATTTATCCATTTGTAACTAAATTGTCACATACCATGGGTGCTTTTTTTAAGATCAATAAACCAATATTAGCCTTATTCAAAAAAGCTATTTTGATAATGAAAGTTGTATTTAAAATTAGACTTTGGGAAAATACCATAGAAATAAAAGGTAGGTGAAACTTATAACTGTATTTGGGATAGTTGGTAACAAAGACCAGAAGGCTCTCAATTTGCTATAGACTGTGATGCAGCAGGACTCCGTGATGGTGAGAAGAAGGGTCCAAAAGAGATATATTTTTTTGAAAATTTTGATAATCTTTGTTGAATTTCCATTGGATTCTCATTTCCTATGTAATTGGTTAGTTTATATATATTGAAAGAACTCACATTTGCAGGAACAGATTATAAAGTGTTGGCTATGCCAGGCTTGGTGGCTCCTTCCCTTAATCCCAGAAACTCAGGAGTCTGAGGCAGGTAGATCACAAGCTCAAGGCCCACCTGGGCAACTTAGCGAGACCCTGTCTTATAATAAAAAATTAAAATGAAAATCAGCAGTAGACTACCCCTTGGTTCAGTTCCCAATACTGAAGAGAGGGAACTCTAGATATACCCTTTGCTTTCTCCATTTTTCCCTCAGCTGCCCAACATTTTATTATAGCAGCCACTTCAGCTGGACTAAATTGGAATTTAAATCTACCTTAATGTCTACTGCTTTTGAGGTACAAAGGATAGTTAGTAATGCACCAAATTCTATAGAAATAAAGCTCACTTTAAGACAATCATGTCCTTTTTTAACTTCATAATTTTATAATAAAATTTTGTATTGTGACATCTCTTATTGATACAAAGTATTTGATTGTTAATCTCAGTTTCTTTTTCTCAATGACATCTAGGTGAACTTTTGAGTGAAAATGAAGAAATGTGTAATCCTACAACTTTTCCCTGGGAGAAACTCACTCCATTTCAAAGACTTATTTTGGTAAGATGTGTTATGAGAAAATACTAATATTCCAGATGTTTTGAGCGCTTTTAGTAACTTAAACCCTATAAAATTAATATTTTATAAGCAAAAATATTGATTTCTGAGAGCTAACATTTGATGAATGTTAACATTAGAGGGAAGCACCTACACTCCACTCACCCTGAATGTCCCTTTCATGTGATGGGAGTCCAGTTAGAAACACTCCTGCATCTCTGCCCACTTATTTGCTCTTTCCTAGAGAAGGGGGGAGGGAGACTTATAAGACAGATAAATTTGAGACATTAATTGAGAGTACATGGCTCAGCCTTTTCTTCCTTATCCCCTTTTGGGTCTACACTGGATGCCAAGAGCACATGTTCTGTTCTGCTTCTCCAAGCCATAAATTATAGGATTTAGACCCTGTCCTATAGAGGTAGGTTGATGGCTTCCCAGCCTTGCTGTGACAGGTAAGTGTGTCTAGTTACAGGGTTCAGTAGCAGGAAGTACAGTGTTGCCTCACACCTAAACCACCCCAAATATGTTCTTTATTATTAATAAAGGTGATACTATGCCTGCCTCTTCCAAACTCAATTGCTTTGGAATCTGGTTGAAGGATAGAAGGTTGATAGGTTAGGCATGTGAACAGGTGTCATTTATAAGACCTAGGCTTTAGAAAGTTTAGTGTGTGTTAAGCATTGTACATACATTATGTTATTTAAAGCTTTTAATAGTCTTAGGGGATAGGCAAGATTATTTCTCCCATTTTACAGGTGATCCAAGGCTCAGAAATGGCCTAATAGAGCCAGGATTGATCCCAGGCAGTTTGACTCTGAAATCTATACTCTCAGAAGTCCCATTATATTATACTTTCCAAAGTAGATCATCCTAAAAATTCATTCTGACTACCTCAAAAAACCTTTTTTATTTTCACATTTACCTTTTGCTTTAGTGAGGGGTAAACTCCTCATTTCATTCCTCTCTTGACCTCAACTCTATGTAAATGCCAGCCTGGACAACCAGTAATCCTCCTTTTGATTTCTGCCTTAAATTCTACTCTTGCAACACTAATTGCCACAGTCTGACTGCAGCTAAATTACCGGGGGGGCGGCAGGGGGACAAGGAACTTGTGAAGGTTGATACAGCAGGAGTGGGAGCCGTTTATTGTAGGACAGTAGGGGTATATATACACATAACTAATTACACACAGCTTCTCTTAATTAACATAAACTAGATATAGCAGTCAACCAAAAAGGAATCATCATCTTGATTACACACAGCTTAACTTAATTGACATAATCTAGACACAGCAGTCAGTCATTAAGGAATCTCTATCATCTTAATGGCTCGCTGGTATTACTTCTCAAACCACTCCCTCTGGCAAAATGCCAGGCGCCATCTTGACTTGTTTATGGACCCTAACAACTAATATTCACTGAAGATAAGAGATTGGGAGGGGGGAAGGCTGCATCTGGCTTATAGATTTGTTTTATCTGGCCTGCAGCTTTGTCTTTTTTTTTCCAATTTTCAAGTGCAATTTATCATGAAACAAATGGATTTGAACCTAAAAAGATCTTCTGTAGAGAATTTCCATCTTAGTCCAATTTGGGTTGCTGTAACAAAATACCTTATAATTAATAATTTATAAACAAAATAATTTTATTGCTCGAAGTTCTGGAGTCTGAGAAGTCCAAGATCAAAGCTCTTGCAGATTCAACATCTGGTGACTGCTGCTCTCTGCCTACAAGTGGTTTTTTCTTGCTTGTCCTCTCATGGTAGAAGAGACAAACAGGCTCCCTCCAGCCTCATCATAAGGGCACCAAGTCCATTCAAGGCAGCAGAGCCCTCATGGTCTAGTCACTTCCTAAGTCACTCCCCACCACCTTAATACTATTGCACTAGGGATTAGGGGCCAACATATAAATTTTGAGGGAACACCAACATTCAGACAATAGCAACTTCCAAGTTTTTAAGTAAAAGTATCTAAAATAAATTTCATATATTATGTTTAAGTTCTGTGTACTCATATTAATTACTTTTTTATTTGTGCATTATAATCCTACATAATAGTGGGGCTCATTGTAACATCCATACATGCATATAATATAATTTGGTCAGTTTCACTCCCCAGTGCTTCCCCTTCCCCTCCCGGGCTCCACGTCCTCTACTCTACTATATGTACACTTATATCTCAAAGTAAATTGTTTTCTACATTTTTTATTGTGATAAAAATATACATAGTTTATTTTATTTCTTATAATTAGTTCCGATTACCCCTTTTTAAGTATGCCATTCAATGTCATTAAGTAGAGTCACAATATTATGTAGCCATCACCTATGTCCATTTCCAGAACTTTATCTTCCTCCTAAAAAGAAACCCTGTACCTGTTAAACAATAATGCCCCTCTTCCTCCATCTGACAGTTGTTGACGACTCCATTCTACTTTTTGTCTCCAGTGCTTCAATATTTGTCTTTTTGTGAATGGTTTATTTCAATGAGCATAAGATTTTTCAAGGTTCATCCATATTGCAGCATGTGTCAAAACTTCCTTCTGTTTTAAAACTAATATTCTGTTATGTGTATGTATCACATTTATTTATCCATGAATTCATTGAGGGACACTTGGTTCGTTTCCACTTTTGGGCCATTGTAAATAATGCTGCTATGAACATCAGTATACACATATATGTTTGCTTTTTGGTTTTGTTTTGAGACCAAAATTTGCAAATTGATAGATTTCATATAATAATCAAGATTTTTGAGTTTATTGAAAAATTAAAAGATGAAGCACTACTGAACCCACCATCCTTAATGGCAACAAGAGCTAGAGCTGAGGAATGTCAGTCCCATCATCCCTGCTGCTCCCTGTTACTTCCCAGCTTTGAAGTTTTATGTTAGTTACCACTTAGCATCATATTTGCATTTTTATTTTTCTTATAGAAGAGAAATTTTTTCTTCTACCCAACCCATTTCAATGATGTATATCATCTCTCTGATGACTGGACAGATTAATACCTCTACATGTAGGTCAATGGCAGTTATGATGACATGAAAATATATTTATGCTATATTAATTGACAAATGAAAAACTGAACAATCTGTATAGGACAAGGAGGATAAATAGGAAGATGCTAGAAAATGTAGAAAATGTCTATAAAAAAATCACAACCTGGATGCATTGGTGCATGCCTGTAATCCCAGCTGCTTGGGAGGCTTAGGTAGGATCTTGAGTTCAAAGCCAGCCTCAGCAAAAGTATGGCACTAAGCAACTCAGTGAGACCCTGTCTCTAAATAAAATACAAATTAGGGCTGGGAATGTGGCTCAGTGGCCAAGTGCCCCTGAGTTCAATCCCTAGTACCCCAAAAAAAATCACCAGAAAAAAATAGTAGTATCTTGGGACTTTTTTCACTTTTTTATACCTTTTTTGTATTACATAAATTTTATTTGGCAAATATATATTACCTGGAAAATTAATTAGATTTTAAAGTCTGTGCTACATTGTCTTTCTCCAATAAGCTTCTGATGATTTTATTTTATGAACTAGAAACTTTATGAATTTAGTGGTTTTGTTTTCTAAATAAAAAGTCAGAAGATATGAATTAAGAAAATGTTGTTATACATATTAGGACACTGGGCCTGACCTGTGAGAATCAGAAATTGAGACTGCCATATCAGAGATTAAATTAAAATATAACAGAAAAAAAAGTGACCCAGAAAAAGTGTGTCAAAGGTCCATGAGGGCAAGGACTGTTTTATTTTCACCTCTCTGCACTACTACAGCCTACTGGACTGAAAATAGCAGGGAAAGATGACAATAAGATAATTGCTATATTAATTGACAAATTAATTTACTTGCTATATTAATTAACATAGCAAAAAATGTATTGATATAGCAATTGCTCTATTAATTGAAAATGTCTTGTTGTTAATAAAAGAGCTAGTGAAAGGAAGCAATCAAGAGCATGAAGAGAGGGCCTACAGAATGGGAGAAAATCTTTGCCACCTGCATCTCAGATAGAACATTAATCTCCAGGATATGTAAAGAACTCAAAACTTACCACACACAAAAAAAATCATCATCATTATCATCATCACCATCATCATCATCATCATCATCATTATCATCCAGTCAATAAATGAGCAAAGAAATTGAACAGGCATTTCATGAAGAAATGTGATTGATCAACAAACATATGAAAAAATGTTCAACATCTCTAGCAATTAGAGAAATGCAAATTAACACTACACTGAGTTTCTATCTCATTCCAGTCATAATGGAATGAATACAAAAATACAAGCAACAATAAATGTTGGCAAGGATGTGGGGGAAAAGGGTACATTCATACGTTGTTGATGGGACAGCAAATTGTTACACCACTCTCAAAAGCAGTATGGAAATTCCTCAGAAAACTTGGGATGGAACCACCATTTGACCCAGCAATACCACTCGTCAGCTTACACCCAAAGGACTTAAAATCAGCATAATATATTGATGCAGCCACATCAGTATTCAGAGTAGCTCAATTCACAATAGCTAAGCTGTGGAACCAACCTAGGTGCTCAACAGATGAATGGATAAAGAAAATGTGGTACATACATACAATAGAATATTACTCAGCCATAAATAAGAATGAAATTATGGCATTTGCTAGTAAATGAATGGAACTAGAGGCTATGGTGCTAAGTGAAAAAAGTCAACCCCAAAAAACCAAAGTACAACTGTTCTCTCTTATGTGTGGTTGCTAACACACAACAAGACTTCATTATGTTCACGTTTGAATGCACAACCAGTTAAACTCCACATCATGTACAACCACAAGAACAGGATCCTAATTAGAATAAGTTATATTCCATGTATGTATAATAAAAGTCAAAATACACTCTACTGTCATATATATCTAAAAAGAACATAAAAAAATAAAATAAAACCACAAAAAAATTAGTAGAGCTAAAAAAAAAAGACAGAGAGAGAGAGAGATTGTGAAATTGAATTCAACAAGGGGCTGCGGTTGTGACTCAGTGGTAGAGGACTTGTCTAGCCCGTGTAAAGCACTGGATCTGATCCTCAGCACCACATTAAAAATAAATAAATGAAAGTATTGTATCATTCTACAACTAAAAAATTTTTTTAAAAAGAAAAGAAATTTAATTCAACAAAATTCCATTTTTTCTCTCTCTCTTTTCTTGTTCATACCTTGGAAAAAAGGAAGGGAGGGAGGGAGAAAGGAAGGAAGGAGGGAGGGGAAGATAGAGAAAGAAAGAAAGATAGATAGGTGGTGGGCGGGAGGAAGAAAGAAAGAAATCCAGGAAAGGAAGGAAAATGCTCGGGGTTAGAAATTACAACCTTGGAGGGCTAGGGAAGTGGCTCAGTCGTAGAGCCCTTGCCTTGTATATGTGAGGCCCTGGGTCTCATTCCTAGCACTGCAAAAACAAAACAAAACAAAACAAAAACTACAACAGTGGAAAAATGTAATGAATGCTTGATGGATCAGGAGGAGCCTGTAGCATGGCAGTGACAAAGGATAATAATCATATTTGGAAACCTGGATTCTCAGCAATGATGGTGTCATGGGACCACACATAATCATTTGTGTCACTCACCAGAGTCTCATTAATTGGATTTACTGAGTCTGGGTCTAAATCTGTCTCACTCTGCTACAGGATCCCAGATTGTTTATATGCTGCCAATTTTTATTTCTTAAATTATTTGTCACATTTAATTAAAATTTAAATTTAAGATTGGTTTTCCAAAAGGTCACAGAAGAAAATTCTATGTAGTTATTAAATATATTATTTTAAACCTGAAATTGCCAATATCAGACAGTTTTACACTTACAAAAATGGCAATTTCCTGTGGCTCAACCCAGTATATCTGCACAGACCCAAAGACATATACAGTTTCAACTTTGTTTTACCTAATGGAGATCTGAACATACACAGAAAGAACATAGTTTATGGTCATTCTGTATAAAAATAGCACATAAATAGTTTATACATCAAACAGTTTTGAAATTTTCAATGAATTCCAATAAGCTCTGAGCTTCTGTTTACTATAAAGATGCTGTTTCCAAAATATTTTAGTTCACCTAGAGTTCTTTTCAGTTCTTTTGTTCTATTTGCTTAAGCTTACCAAGATTGTGCTATTTGTCTTCATTTTATTAATGGCAGAATTACTACTCTTCCAGATGAGTAATCCTGGATCTTCCCACCCCAGCACCATGGAGTCTTTTTGGCTCTAAACATAGACAGCAGAGCGGAAGAAAAGTAGGAAAGGTCTCTTTTTGTAGAATCAGGAAGAACAATTGCACCTTTACATCAAAACAAGATCTTCTTCTGAGTGTAGAAGGGACAGAGGCTCAAGGTGGCCCTGGAATCAGGAAGGACCACATGAGGGTCAGGAGCATGGTGGCAATTTTTCCATCAGATAAAGACCCTTTCTCATTCAGCCTTCCCAACATGAGGAATACCAAATAACTCTCAATGAAAAGCCAAGTCATGAACACTTCTTATTTTTATTTTATTTGACCATGGGGAGTATATCCCTGGGTGATTTTTTAATTTACCTTTTCTTCCATGTCTTCTCTTTCAGATAAAAATTCTTAGACCAGAACATTTAACCAGTGCAGTGAGAACATTTGTAACTGAAAAAATGGGAAGTGAATTTCTTCTCGGAGCTGGAATTAATTTGAAAGAATCATATGAAGAATCCACTGCCAAAACTCCATTGATCTTTATTCACTCCAATGGTAAGCTCTTCCTGGAAAGTGAAGGTTATGATAACAGTATGAGTCACCAGATATGAAGAAAGAGGTTCAATGTCAGGTTACACTCTTCTTAAAATAGTTTCCTACTATTTAAACATTTTGGAAAAGGGATTGGTTTAAACTGTATCAAGATTTAATCTTTCCACCTATAGTCCCTGGAGCTCCATAGACTGAGGCAGGAGGATCTCAAGTTCAAAGCCAGCCTCAGCATCAGTGAGGAACTAAGCAACTCAGTGAGACCCTATCTCTAAATAAAATACAAAATAGGGCTGGGGATGTGGCTTAGTGGTCAAGTGCCCTTGAGTTTTAATCTCAGATAAAAAAAAAAAAAGAATCTTTTTTAAAAAGTATAAAAGAACAAAGAAGAATAAAACTTCCAGTAGATGCTGATCCATAATGGGGAGCGGGGGCATGGAAGAATGGAAGAACTTTGAATTGGACAGAGGGGAGTGAGGGGAGGGGAGGGAGTATGGGAGTTGGAAAGATGGTGGAAGGAGGCCCTAACTAGGTACATGTATGATTGCACTAATAGTGTGACTCACATCGTGTACAACCAGAGAGATGAAAAGTTGTGCTCCATTTGTGTACAAGAAATCGAAATGCATTCTGCTATCATGTATAGCTAATTAGTACAAATAAAAACAAAACTTCCTGGACACACAAACATGGAAAAAATCTACTAGTGCTAATTTTCTGTGCAGAAAATACCTTCCAAACACAGAGTATTGATCCAAAAGTTGGGATTACCCTTATGTTTATTAACTGTTTTAATTAACATTGACTTGTACGGAATATATATTGTGAAATAATCTACCAGAATTGGCCCTTTATTACTCAAAACTACTAAATCCTAAGTATTTTCTTCTAAGCAAAATACTTTATCTTTTCATCTTCATAGTCTCCCAGTGAAATGTGTCTTTAGAATTCAACATTTTCAAACTTTCCTTAGGCAAACACTAGGATATCTCCCTCTGCAGGCTTTCTAACGGGGAGCCTGGAATGTTTCCACATAAAGCACCTAGCTTTATACCACACACTCTCGGAAACTTTGCTGTCTATTTCTTTTTTTTTTTTTTAATCCTAATTGGCTTCATTTTTAATTTTAAAATCAGGTAACACTTCATTCCATAAAACAGAATCAGTTTTCCTATGAGCCAAGCACTCATCAAAAATAATTTGATGAGTTAACATTAGATTATTTATATTTCTTACACAGAATAAGGACAAAGGAACTTCACTATTTCGCCAGTTGAGAATGGCTGTTCTCTCTCCAATCCAGATTTCTCTTGGAGGACCACATGTGTCAGCTTGGTTTGATTAACTCCATGTTGTTGTCCCCCACCCCACCCCCGGAATATTGTCTCTGTTGAAAAACTGGCTTCACAAAGAAGGTGGCAGCAGGAAAATTTCAGAATCCAAAGCTTAAAAATAAGTCTTGGGCAGTGGGGGGTTATTTTCTGTCTCTGGGGTGGGGGGGAATCATCCAGTGTCCGAGGCCTGGGGACAGAGGCAAAGTCCCCAGTGGCCCATCTAGGAGATGTCACTCTCAGTAGCATCTGGTGTCCTGATCTGTGCTTGCCCAGGATGATGGTGGGTAAGGAGCAGCAGGTCACAGGGGCCCCCTGATCCTCTGTGAGACAGAGCTCTCCCTGGGCAGACCCCGGGACTGAGGGTCAGCGGCTAGGGGAGAATCAACGACTGTCCCCAACTGTGGTCCCTGAGGTCCTGGGGCAGGGATGCAGTAGGCAGCCAGTGTCACAAGACGTCCCTGTCCCCAGCCAGGCCGGGTGCCACGCTAAGGGAGGAGAAAGACGGTGTCCCTCCTCAGGGCCTGGCCCCTGCGCCTGATCTCACTTCCTCCCCGGCATCGCCTGGAAGGGGAGGAAGTGACACCCAAGGGAAGGCCGGGAAGTAAGGCTACCATCACATTCAAGTTCAGGGTGCAACAGCTCAGTCTGCCCCCCAACAGGCCCCATACTCCACTCCTCTTCATGGGGCACATTCCTTCTGAGAATCACACCCTGCCCTTTATAGACACAAGGACCCAGAGACACGTCCATGTTTAGGCCCTCGGATCTGAAAGTGCTCAAGTGTCCATGTTTAGGCCCCTGGATCCAGAAGTTCCTCAGACATCCACGTTTAGGCCCCCGGATCTGGAAGTGCCTCAGGTGCACATCCATGTTTAGGCTCTAGGACGGGAAGTTGCTCAGTTGTTCATGTTTAGGCGCCCGGATCCGGAAGTGCCTCAGGTGCACGTCCATATTTAGGCTCTAGGACCAGAAGTTCCTCAGACATCCATGTTTAGGTCTCTGGATCAGGAAGTTCCAAAGGTGCACGTCCACGTTTAAGCACCCGGATCTGGAAGTGCCTCAGGTGCACGTCCATCTTTGGGTTCTCGGATCCGGAAGTTCCTCAGTCCTCCATGTTTAGGCCGTAGCATCCAGAAGTTCCTCAGGCACACATCCATGTTTAGGCCCCCGGATCCAGAAGTTCCAAAGGTGCACGTCCACGTTTAGGCACCTGGATCCGGAAGTGCCTCAGGTACACATCCATGTTTAGGCTCTAGGACCGGAAGTTCCTCAGGTGTCCATTTTTTGGCCTCCAGATCCAGAAGTTCCTCAAGCGTCCATATTTAGGCCCGGGATCCAGAGATTCCTCAGGTGCACTTCCATGTTTAGGCCCCTGGATCCAGAAGTTCCTTGGTGCAGTCTATGTTTAAGCCCCCAGATCTGTAAGTTCCTCGGGTGCACGTCCATTTTTAGGCCCTGAGATCCGGAAGTTCCAAAGGTGCACATCCATGTTTAGGCAACCATATCCAGAAGTCCCCCAGGTGCATGTCTATGTTTAGGCTCTAGGATTGCTGTCTATTTCTTGAAGAATTAGCCCAAGATGGTGGCTAGAGCTTCAGCCATCACCTCATGTGCTAAACAACAGCATGGAAGACAGGAAGAGGGTCACACCTCTTCCCTTCAAGAAGATACCCAAAGTTTTACACAGTGCTTCTATTTCTGTCAAAACCTTTTTACAAAAACCTAGATGTCCATACTTAGCTGGAAGATTAGCTAAACTATAATATTTTAGCAAGGTACACAGTTATCTCAAGCAACCCAGGAGTACAGCTAACAGAAGAGGAAGGGGTAAGAAGATGAAGGAGTAGATAATCAACTAGTACTGCTTTAGTAAATATTATTATACCCATATGTTAGAAAGTGGCAGAGACAAAATGTGAATTCTGGGCTCCAATTCCAAAACCTGTAGTCTTTCCACAATTGGCTACACCTTCTCTCACCACCAGTCAATAAATTCTGGATTGTGGGTTTTTGTTTTGTTTTGTTTTGTTTTGTTTTGTTTTGTTTGTACTGGGTATTGAACTTGGGCTTATCCACTGAGCCACATCCCCAGTCCATATATATTGCTGGAGCTGGCTTTGATCCTTCATTGTGTTTTTAAATAGAGAATTATATGAGCTTACGGTTTTATGTACCTCTCTTTGTTACACAGGAATTGACCTCACCAATATTCTCCTGAGATTTGCACAAGAATTAAAAGGAACAACGGAACACGTGACCATGATTTCCTTGAGTCATGGCCAGGCAACCGAAGCAGAAGACCTCATTGTTCAGGCACTAACTAAAAGGCATCAATGGGTCTTCCTGCAGAACTGCCACCTTGCAGGGTCATTCATGCCAAAGCTCTGCACCATTGTTGAATCGTAAGAGTTTCATATTTATTTATAAGGGATCAGATGAATTACCAAAACTAGGGAATGCATAAACAATGATAAAATAGTGTGTTGGGCTCCACAGAGGAAATTTAAGCTATCTTCTTGCAGAAGAACTAAGAATATAGGTTTTGATTAGGAAAAAAAAATGGTCTCTTTAGTTTTTGTTTGCATTTATCACTTTTCTCTTTTTCTCCCAGACTCTCACTCTCAATAGATAGATATGTATGCCATATACACAATATATATGCCAATGTTTAGATTAGCAACATAGTTTTTAAAATAGTATATGATTCCAAGAAGCACAATATAAGGCCTGATATCCACACTTATGATGGTCTGTATTTAGTATCTATTCTTATTTTCCATAAGTTTAGCCTTCGTTTTTGCAGTGAATTGACTGCTATACTTTGAAAATTTTGCAATGTGTGGAATTAGTAAGGTTTTAACCAATTATATTGTACAATGTTTTTTCTCCAAGCTTACTTTTTTTGTTTTACTTTGTATGAATAACATTGTAGAGTAAATGTGTGAAAATAAGGGTCTCTTCATGCTGTTATTTTTATGCTTTGTGCATATGCAAGGAAACTATAAAACCAACTGCTGGAATTAAATTTCCAAATCACTTTCCTTATATCATTCATGCTGTTCTCAGATTGTTATTCTGTTAGCACTTTTTTCCCCCTTGTGCCAAGGATTGGACTCGGGTGCACTTAAACCTGAGCCACATCCCCAGTCCTTTTTTTTTTTTTTTTTTAGACAATGTAGAGACAGAGTCTCACTAAATGCTGAGACTGGCTTTGAACTCACGATCCTTCACCTCAGCCTTCCCAGCTGCTGGAATTACAGGTGTGTGCCAC